AGGTATTACAGTTTTAAATCTTTGTGCGGGTAATGACATTCTTCCTGGAGGGCAGGGAACATGGGTTATGCTGCACAAAGTCAAGCCCCAGATCAGAGGTTGCAAAGCGGCAACCCACAAGACAAATTCTGCCCACAGTGGTGATTTGTTTGGCCCACAGTGTTTATACTACAATTTCATAAGTTGCCAAAATCTAAAAATAAAAATTTCTTACAAAATCTGGACTTCCAGCTTCTCTTTAGAAAAAAATTAAGATGTTCAGGCGACATTCGGTCTGCACCCTCCCCTAGGTCAATAGTGAGCCAACAATGAATTGTATACTTTAACATGGTGAATTATATATTATGTAAATTTCACCTCAATTAATTTTAACCTTCTGAAAAATTTCAATCACCAATACATTGTGAGTGTATTCCCAAAACCTTAATATTTTTAATTAATTTATTTTTAACTGACAAAAAGATATACATTTATCATGTACAACATGTTTTGAAATATGGATATATATTGTTGAATGGCTAAATCAAGCTAATTAACAAATGTATAACCTCACATACTCCTTTTCTGTGGTGAGAATGAATTTTAACTCAATTTTTTTAAAAAATAGGGAACCAAAACTGCTTTAACAACAGCTCCCCTGGAGGGACATGAATTCCCTACTTTACTTACAGTCCCAATCTGATTTACCATTACTGACTTAAATATTTACCCAGCCCTACAGGCATTTGAATTTACAATGCTCACCCTAGATAAGCTTATTCAATGAATTACTGAACTAAGATGACAATTTTATAAAAGACAAGGTTGGTAGTAATGATGATAATGACAATAATACCAACAACTAACATTTCATGCTTACTGTGAGCCAAGTTTAATTCAAACGGAAACACATTATCCCTTTATATGCTATTACTATTCCCAGTTTGCAGATGTGGAAATGAAGATGCAAAGAAGTCACGTCACTCAGCCAAGGTCATACTGCCAGTACATGCTAGAGCCGAAATTCAAAATAAACCTAACTCTAGTGCACACTGTTAATCCCTACAATATGATCCTTTAGACTAGCATCCTTTCCTCTGTTAGCAAGTGAACTGATTCTCTGGAACAAAGAAGCAAAAGACAAAATTTCAGAATCTACTCTCTTTCTTTGCATGAATGACTAAGAAGCAAACTAAAGTTCACCTAAGTGCAGGTGGCATTTCTGAAATTTTTCTCGCCTTTAAAAAAACAGTTCTCTGTAACTGACTGAGAAAAGATTATGGAATTCAATAAAATTATATTTTCTCAGAAAGCAAGCATGTTATTAGATATTTCTGGACTGAGGTAATCTCAATATGCAGATGAATTCTTATCCTATAAAGTGATGATATATACAAAAATCATCTCTTTCTTGGGGTAGAAGGATATATCTACTAGGGTAAGCAGTTTCCAGACATGAAAAAGAAGCGCAAGTTTCTTGAGGGCAGGGACTGCTTTTTGTCATGAGTCCCCTGCAATGCCTAGTACAGAGTGGCACTTAGAATATATTCAACTACATTAAAAGACCTAAGAAATCTGAAGTTAATATCTTAAATTGCAATGCAATGCAACCTTTATTACAGAATTTATCCTCTTGCTTTTTATGATAATTACTAGCAAACAAGTTTGTTTTCCTGACGAAAACACAAAATCCTTGAAACAGGAAATTTATATTTCAGTACCCCTTGGAACACAGCACAACAGCAGGTCAAAAATGCTTGTTGAATATTACAAACTTAACGTTTCTACACTTAGGTTTCCTACAAGTCTCTCTTTGTGCCACTGTTTAAAGCAGAACTTAAAATAATATGGTTTCTCATTTATAAAGCGATGGATATTATAAAGTCTCATATTTCTGATACCCATCCTACATTGTGATATCAACAAAGTCCAGAAAAATTAGTGAGTCAGCACATGAAGTACAAAGTATAATCATAGAGTGAGCTAGAAAACACCTGAGTGGGATTGATGTTCTTTTCAAAACAAAATAAAAAGAAAAAACCTGAGAGATCATATTCAAAACATTCAATAGACAAGTGAGGAAATGAGGCCCAGAGAGATTTAACTGAGTTGCCCAAGATCACAGAATTTAAGAAATGAGCAGTACCACAGATAGAACCAAGGTCTTCTGAATGTTGGCCTAGGTATCTTTCCACAAAGAACTGCTTTGTCAGCTCAGCATGAAATGGATACTTTGAAAAATATTTTAAAGATATTTGGTATGGAGAATGATCTTTCCACCACATAACTTTTTGTGAGGTATTACGTCACCATTAAAGGCATAAAAGCTGCCTTGTTCCTTTATTGCAGATAACACCAACTCCTTTTCCCCTTCTTTTCTGTTGTACATATTTTTCATTTTCATGTCTCTCCTGTTGTCACCTTCTGAGACTTCTTCCTCACCATCTCATCTGTCTACTTTCCCTATCACCCACTTCCTTTCTAATATCTCTCACAAATTGCCCACCATCTCCTTCCTTATTCTCCACAATTACCAAAAAGAACAGATTAAGCATACATTTGATTACAGCAAATGGGACACCACAGTAAGCAAATCACAGCCTGGTCTCCAGCATTATGGGGCAATTTGTTAACACAAATATAAACTAAACACAAAGTGTCACACAGATGAATGAATAATAAACACTAATGTTTACAGTGGAGACAAGAACCTAAGCATGCATGGGACATTTATGTAAAGGCAGGTGGTAAAGACAATGATAACTAATAGTCTCAAGGTTACGGTTAGACAAATGAGGAACCACTTGCTTCCTTTTTTTAAGTTTCTTTTTTATTGTCAGCTTTACTGAAGTATAATTAACAAACAAAAACTGTATATATTCAAGGTGTAAAACATGATGTTTTGATATACCTATACAATATGTAATGATTTCTACAATCAAGCTAATTAACACATCCATCACCACACAGTTACTTTTGTGGGGTGAGAATACTTAATATCTACTCCTTTAGCAAATTCCAAATATACAATATATTACATACTACTTATTATAGTTCCCAAGTTGTACATTAGTTCTCCAGAATTTATTCATCTTATAACTGCAGTTTGTACTCTCTGACCAACATCTCCCCATTTCTCCCATTCCCCCACTCCCAAAACCCTCATGACCATCCTTCTATTATTTCTATGAGTTGGATTTTTTAGATTCTACACATAAATGTATTTGTACTTATCTGTGTCTGACTTATTTCACTCAGCATAATTTCTTCCAGGTTCATCCATGCTGTCACAAATGGCAGCACTTCCTTATTTCTTTCTTTTTTAAGACTAAATAATATTCCATTATATATACAATTGACCCTTAAACAAGTTTGAATTGCGCAGGTTCACTTATATGCAGATTTTTTCCAATAAATATACAGTCAGCCCTCCCTATATGGGGTTTTTGCATCAGTGGATTCAACCAACTTCAGATGAAAAATACAATATTTGTAAGATGTGGAACCCGCCTATATGCAGGGCCAACTATTCATATCCATGGGTTCTGCAGGGCCAACTGTGGGACTTGAGCATCTGCGGATTCTGGTGCTCAAGGGGCATCCTGGAACTAATCCCCCGAAGATACCAAGGGACAACTGTATATATATACATATCACAATTTCTTCATTCATCTGTCAACAGACACCTACGTTGTTTTCATTATCATGGATATTGTGAATAATGCTGCAATAAACATAGTAGTGCAGGTATTTCTTCAAGATAGTGATTTTGGGCTGGCCCGGTGGCGCACTGGAGAGTGCACCGCTTGGGAGCGCGGCGGCGCTCCCGCCGAGGGTTCGGATCACATGTGGAGACTGGTTCCCGCTCACTGGCTGAGCGTGGTGCGGGGGCGCAAAACCAAGGGTTGCACTCCCGTTGCCGGTCCCCGGTACGGGCGCGACACCAAGGGTTGCGATCCCGTTACCGGTCAGTACAAAAGACAAAAAGGAAAAAAAAAAAAAAAGGAAAAAAAAAAAAAAAGGAAAAAAAAAAAAAAAGGAAAAAAAAAAAAAAAGGAAAAAAAAAAAAAAAGGAAAAAAAAAAAAAAAGGAAAAAAAAAAAAAAAGGAAAAAAAAAAAAAAAGGAAAAAAAAAAAAAAAGATAGTGATTTTATTTCCTTCGGATATACACCCATAAGTGGGATTGCTGGAAAATATGTAGTTCTATCTTACTAATGGTCTTCCTATTCAGCTTTCATACCTAGCAATTTACCTGCTCTACTTCATTCACTCACTATTCTCTTATTGCTTGACTTTACACTCTACTTTTTCTTACCCAGTAGTCTTCCTTTTCTTTCTCCTGACCTTTTAAAGTAAATCTGTCTTGCCCTCATGTTTTCCTTCACAATATTATTACCAACTTCTCCCCACTTGTGGATCTAGATAATGTCTTAGGTTCTGAATTCATTTTCTTTCCTAAAGATTTAATATGTATTACTTTATTGGATCTTCACAATGCCAGGGAGGGAGGTAAGAATCAATACAACTATTTTACAGATATATAAACTGAGGCCTGGCAAAATTAAATAATTTGCCAAAAGTCACACAGCTTGTTTATGGCAAAATCACATTAGAACCCAGATCTTTTCTTTCTAGTCCTCTATTTTTTTTCCACTGCCCCATGTTGCCTTCTTTTTAATTCCTCTACTTCTTACCCACATACATGCACATGTCAGGACAAATATACAGACATAAATGTTCATAAAACAAAACAAGTGGAAAAAGTGTGTGTATGTATAAGGGAACTATATAAACAGAAAAGTCAGAAGACTGAAATTAAGAGCGTAGTATGGCTCACAGAATAATGCTTAGAAAGAAGGCTTTGGGTTTTGTATCCAAGTGGAAACTGCCTATTTCTTCAACCAACTGATGCAGCCAACATCAACTCTCTCCCCATACCTCTCCATAGCAGTTATATGACCAGGGCTTGCACTCTACACCACTCCTGCCCCCAAACCTCTCTCCCAGGAATGTCACCATACCTGAACTTCTCACTGTTTGAGTCACTTCTTTGGATTAAGGCGTTGTCTCCAGAAGGCCACTGTGAAATGCATGTTACCTGAGAGAGGAAAGAGGATGCATTAACACATTACTCCTATGGTTAAACACATCAGATTTGTAGATCTTGAGGATCTGACAGCACATGTCTTTTTAAAAACTTTCATGGGATAAATAATTTTTGATGGGACAGGCAGGATAAGGGGGTGAGCAGGGAGGAAATGACTCATACATAGTATGGGGTGATACCCACCTGGGTATAATGGTCACGTGGCAAAATGAGGATGGCCATATAAACACACACCCTGCCTATAAGGGTCACTGTAAGGACAGTCCCTGCAACTTGGAGGCTCTTAGGAACAGGAAAAGAAAAAGCACTCCACAGACTCTATAACATATGGGTCTAGTCAGGTCTGAAAACCACCATAAGAGCTGAGCTGGCAGTAGTTTTCCAAGGACAGTGTACTACTGCTAGACTGGAGGACAGAGGCAGGAATAGCTCTGGTTAACTGCTTCTAGTTATGAAGATAGTTTCCAACCTAACATTTTCAGCTGAGGGCCGACCTCTCAACCAGAGAACACTGCAATTCAGTTCTGTGAACCCCCTCACTAATTTCTATTAACTCAAAGCCAGTATCATTTACAGCCACAAAAATCAACATACCTTTACTGAGTGTTTATTATGAGTCCAGAATTTGACTAAGTACTACAAATACAGAAAATAGTAACTTTATATACTTTTGCCTTAAATCATGTAAAGAAAACCAATCCTCAAAACCCAAAATGGGGTGGGGGGTAGGGGAGGTGAGGAACAGGAAAGGAAGTGGGGAAAAAAGAACAAAAACCAGGTGACTATTTCCTAATAATACTAACGTAAGTTTCTTAAGCCTGAATGAATACAACAAAACTTACTTCTAGGCCAAAGTTTCTTGTTAAACTCTTGCCTAAACAGTCAAGAGGTACAGGCTAGAAATACCCCTCTTTTTCTCCCAGTCTAATAATACCAGAAGATCTTTAGTAGCACACAATCATCTTGGTAAACTGGAGAGTACCAGATCTGGTTCCAGTTCTAGTTCTGACTCTTAACTGGTTTTAGGTAAATTATTTAAACTTTTAAAAAATAAGCAGAAAACTAAAAAATTGGACTAGTCTAAGAAAAGCATATTCCTAGCATATACATATATGCCACCCACTACATAACTGTCTATAGGAAGCATCACTAATCAATTATAACACACTCTCCCAGAGAACCTATACAACCAGAATCCTTTAAAACACAGTGCTTCTGGCAGCTACTTCCAATTAGAGTTGGCCTGTAAACCAAAATATATTTGCCACTATGGACTAAATAATCTCTGTAATCTCTTCCAACTCTAAAGTTCAAATACCAAGCTTCTCATGCTGGCCTGCCGCCAAAAAAAAAAAGTTTCTGTAGGCTAAGAGAAAAACATTGCCAACAAGCTTAGACTTATAGCATTGATAGTCATAACTTTCGGTTCTCTTCCAAATTGCACCTGACCAAGTTCTAATTTCTCATAGATGCTAATAAACAATTCATTCTCACATATATAACCAGGCAACATTATGCAGACTTCCTAATAGGTTCTTTTGACAGAAAATGAGTGATTTACCCAGACGAACGCTATAAAAATCCTCATACAAAAATATGGCAACAATACTGCACTAGTAAAAGAGCTAAATCCAATTCCTTGATCATCCCCACAGCCTCTCTCCAAGGTCAGACTTTGTCACTTCTCACCTGGACTTCTGCAACAGCCTCTACCCCACCCTTTCACTCTTATCAGCAGAGTAATCTTTCTAAAATACACATGTACTCACATTACTTTCCTGTCTAAAACCTGTATCTATTTCTAACAACATAAAAGTCAAAATTTTTGGCCTTATACTCAGAACTTTTATATAGCTGCCTCCAATTACCTTTCTAGCCTCACATTCCATATACTCTTTCTCTATCCCACTCCCTGCTCCCAGAACTCTTTTTCTTCCACAACCCCCTGCATTTCTACACAGCACTAAGGCATTTCCTCTGCCTACCCTTTCTCCACCCCTGTCACGTTCTTACTCATCATCTAAGACCCAAGTCAGGTCCAAGGTTAGGTCTTGCCTCCTCCTCTGGCCAACCCCCAGACAGAAATGGCCACTTCCTCCTCTCCTGTCTCAAAGTTTTTTGAGCTGTCCTTGGTATGTGCACAGTATTGTTTGCCTCCATGGCTCCCAAAACCATAAGAATTACCTGAGGCATGTTTTAAAAATAAATTGTTATGAGCCAACCCAGACGTACTAAATCAATCTCAGAAAGTGAGACCCTGGAATTTCTACTAGTAAAAAGCTGTCCTAATCATTCTAATGGTCAAATTTGGGGACCACTGATTTGCCTGTCTCACCCAATCGGTGTAAACATACGATTTTTAAAAGACTGTAGAAATGATATACTCTAGAATACAGTGCAGAAGTACTCTGCACTCGTTTCTTTTTTTTTTTTTTGTCTTTTTCCGTGTCCGGCAACGGATCGCAACCCTCAGTGTCGCCCCCGTACCGGACCGGGACCCCCCGTACCAGACCGGGACCGGCAACGGGATCGCAACCCTCGGTGTTGCTCCCGCGCCTCGCTCAGCCAGTGAGCGGGAACCGGTCTGTATGTGGGATCCGAACCCTCGGGCGGGAGCGCCGCGCTTCCCAAGCGGCGCACTATCCAGTGCGCCACCGGGCCGGCCCTGCACTCGTTTTTTTATTTCATATCATACCCTTGCTGACCTGCCTTGTATGCTGAAGATGAAGAAATTCCTTTTGCACTCAAACCCCAAAACATGCATTCTCTACTCAACTCACTCAAAAAACATATATTCACTGTTCAAAAAGGCTGTAGAAATTCCATCTTCGTTTCTAAATCTTAAAAATGAAGTAACTGTACCTTCAGTAAACCCGTGAATACAGTGCAGGCTCTCGCCAGATCTGCCATAAAAACTTTAGGCTGAGGAATCAAGTCCTCTGCCGATTTTGAGAGTGGAAATACACTGCCTCTACATACTTCCTTAAAACCTAATTATATTAGGAACACATGCGGGAAAACCCACCTAACTGCAATAAGTGGTTTGATCCAGAGTTTCACTAATTTTCAAAGAAAAATCTCTCTTCCTTCCCCACCCCCCACTCCAAAACACGTATACTGCAACAGTGGAAGATTGGCAGAAAATGTGACAAGATTAGGATACGAATATAATCAAGACAACAATTTGAGTTGTAACCGGGGAATCGTGAATTTCGGGGACTTTTCAAGTTCACCTGGTTAGAGTTCTCACTTTAAGCTCAACGTCTACCTCGGGCGCACAGACCCTGTATTTCTCCCTCTTTAAGTCGCAGCCCAGAACTAAGTCTGAAAACTTGAGCTCTCCACTTAGAAGTCATGTCCTCATCATGTTTCGACCATTACAATACGTCCACGCTACTTTTTTCTTTTCTCTGCTGAAGAAAAGGGAACTCTCAGGAGGAAAGACAGTGACAGCTCCACGTCTGCAAAAGTCGGCGCCGCTGCGGCGGTGGCGGGCACCGTAGAGGGCGCCCGGGCCGGGACCACCACGCGGGGGGACAATGGAGGGAGGAGGGGAGTAGAAGACAGAAGGGCAGGAGGCCGCTGTGCTGGGCCCTCCTCGCGACTGGGGACT